CAGAGCAAGACTCTATTTCAAATAAAAAATTTAAAAAAAGAGAGATGGGGATAATGGAACCAAGTTGGAAAACACACTTTAGGATATCATCCAAAAAAAAAAACTTCCCAACCTAGCAAGACAGGCCAACATTCAAATTCAGGACATCCAGAGAACCCCAGTAAAATGCTCCACTGTAACTCATCACTCCCCTTTTCTCTTTTTGTTGTCTCACTTTATACCTTTTTATATTGTCTATCTCTTAAAAAGTTATTCTAGTTATTATTCTTGATAACATTTGTATTTTAGTGCTCATACTAAAGATCTGAGGGGTTCACATACCAGAACTACAGTATTAGGATATTCTCAATTTGCATGTTTATTTACTTTTGCTAGTAAGTTTTATACCTTCAGTTGATTTCTTGTGGCATATTAGCATTCTTTTCTTTCAGATTGATAAACTGTCTTTACTGTTTCTTGTAAGACAGGCCTGGTGTTGATGAATTCCCCAGCTTTTGTTTGCTGGGAAAGCCTTTATTTCTCCTTCATGGGTTGAAGAATATATTTGCTGACTAGAATATTCCTGGTTCAAAATGTTTTCCTTCAGCACTTTAAATGTGACTTCTCGCTTTCCTCTGGCCTATAAGATTTCTGCTGAGAAGACTGCTACCAGATATACTGGAATTCCTTTATATGTTCTTTGCTTCTTTTCTCTTGCTACCTTTCCTCTTTTTGTCCTTGACCTTTGAGAGTTTGATTGCTATGTGCTTTGTACTGAATCTGCTTGGCATTCTTTGACTTTCTCATACCTGGATATTCATATGTATCTCTAAATTTGGAAAGTTCTCTATAATTATTTCTTTGAATAAATTGTCTATCCCTACATCTTTCTCTACCTCCTTTTTAAAGCTAATCACTCTTAGACTTGCTCTTTTATGGCTGTTTTCTATATCTTTTAAGTACAGTTCATTCTTTTTCCTTTTTCTTCTCTGTATTTTCAATAGCCTGTATTTAAGCTAAGAAGTTATTCTGCTTAATCAGTTATGCTGCTGTTGTATTTTTCAGTTCATCCATTCTTTTTCAGCTCTAGGATTTCTCTGTGTGTGTGTGTGTGCACGCGCGTGTGTGTGCGTGCATGCGTGTGTTTTGTAATTATTTCAACCTCTTTGTTAAATTTCTCTGCTAAATTTTGGAATTCTTTCTTCATATTTTCTTGACATTCTTTGAGCTTCTTCAAGACAGTTATTTTGAATTCCCTGTCTGAAAGATATTCCTTGCCTGATTGATCTGTATCATTCCAGGGTTGGTCACTGGGCAGCTTATTTAGTCTATTTGGTGATATCATATTTTCCTGAATGTTCTTGATGCTTACGGATATCCGTATATGTCTGAGCACTGAAGAGTTTGTTATTTACTCCAGTCTTCACGGTCTGACCTTGTTTGTACACATGCTTCTTCAGAGGGCCTTCTGAGAATTCAAAGGAGACTTGAGTGCTGAGTTCCCTAAACTGTGGTGACTGAAACCATTTCAGCACTAGAGGGTGCCATAATCCCAAGTATGCAATCAATCTTTCAGACTCCTGGATACCCAGACTAGATAGATGTGGGAAAGAGAAGGGAGAATTTTCTGGGTTCCCAGGCAAAGTTCCTCACTCTCTTCTCTTTCATTCCCCCAAGAATAGAGTCTCCCTTTATATACCAGGCTGCCTTTAATTGGGGGAGAGGTGACACAGGGACTCCTGTGGCCATCACAGTTAGCATCACAGTAATGCTAGTCTACCTTTGGACTCTATGACCAGCACAGTACTGGGGATTACCCAAGTTCCACAGTCTCTACTGCCTGACTGCCACTGATGTTTATTCAAGGCTTGAGGCCACTTTAGTCAGCAGGTGGTAAAAGATGATAGTTCTCATTCCAACCAGCTTGAGTAAAAAACCTCATAATTCATGAAGCATTAGGTAGAGAATATAGAAAAGATTGTCTCAGTAGGGAATTCGTCTTAAAATGTATGCTGCAATAGTCTCTTCTAGAAATGCTTAGAACCAAGACCCCCAAAAGATCATATTGTTTCCAAGTAACTTAACCATGTAACAGAAAAAAGAAATCAAGAATATCTATAGAAATACAAAACAAAACAACACAGTACTTAAAATTCAGTGTCCAGTCGAAATTAAACCATGTTAACAGTATCAGACGGCCAGGCATGGTGGCTCACACCTGTAATCCAAGCACTTTGGAGGCCAAGGCGGGCGGATCGCCTGAAGTCAGGAGTTCAAAACAGTATCAGACAAGGGAGATTTTAGAACAAAGAATATTACTAAAGATTAAAAGGATCATAAAGTGGTCAACACATTGAGTGGATGTAAAATAGGAAATATTTATTATTCACCTAATAAAAAGACATCAAAATATGTGAAGCAAAATCTGACAGAACTGCACAGAGAAGTAAATCCAATTTGATATTCAGAGATGGCAACAATCCTCTTAAAATAATTTTTTGTTAGAACCAAAAAAAAAAGAATGTCAATAGAGATATAAAAAAAACTTAAATAACATTATCAGCCATTTTTACCTCATCAACACTTATACAACCCCTTTATCAAACGAGAGTACAATATATATTTCAAGTGAACATGTAACTCATACCAAGATCATCCATATTCTGGGTCACAAAGCAAATCTCAATAAATGTAGATAATTCAAGTGTTAATATACTCTGACCACAATAGAATTAATGCAGGAATTACTAGAAAGATAAGCAAAATCCCCAAATATTTACAAATTAAATAACATACATTTTAAAAAGAGCCATGTGTCAAGAAGAATTTTTTTAACTGGAAAACATTCTAAACTCAAAATGAAACCACATCAAACTTGGTGGTAGGTAACGAAAGCAGTTCTTTTTTTTTTTTTAATTTTTATTTATTTATTTATTTTTAAGACGGGGTTTCACCATGTTGGTCAGGCTGGTCTTGAACTCGCGACCTCAGGTGATCTGCCTGCCTTGGCCTCCAATGTGCTTGGATTACAGGTGTGAGCCACCATGCCTGGCCTAAAGCAGTTCTTAGATTTTTAACATTAACATTCCCCCCCATATTAGGGAAAAAAAACAAAGATATGAAATGAAGGACCTCAGCTTCCATGTTAAAAAGTAGCAAAAGAAATGAAATCCAATAAAAGCAGAAGGCATTAGTAAAGGTCAAAATGGAAAAAAATCCCAAAATATCAGAAAACAGAAAATTCAAAAATACCAACTACTTTAAGATAAGTAAAATTGGCCGGGCGTGGTGGCTTACACCTGTAATCCAAGCACTTTGGAGGCCAAAGTGGGTGGATCACCTGAGGTCAGGAGTTCATGACCAGCCTGACCAACATGGTGAAACCCCGTCTTAAAAAAAAAAAGAAAAAGAAAAAAAAAGATAAATAAAATTATAAAATTGATAAATCTCTACCCAAACCAATAAAGGTTAAAAAGAAATATGGACATTACCAGTATCAAGAATAGAAGAGGTAGCACCACTACAAATTCTACAAGTGTGAAAATAATATTTTGAAAAATCTGAGTACTTAAGTGAAACAGACAAACTCCTTGAAAGACACAGACCATCAAAGCTTACTCTAGAGATGGATGGATGGAGTGACAGACAGATGGATGGACAGACAGACGGAGGTATATATGACTAGTACGGCCCTCCATCTACCGTGGAAATCAAACTTGTAGTTAGAAGCCATCCTACAAAACACACTTCAGGCCCAGAGAGACAGACACACACACACATATAGACAGACAGATGTATATATAATGTGTACAGCCTTCTACCATGGAAATCAAACTTGTTGTTATAAACTTTCCTACAAAACAAACTCCAGGCCCAGACAACTTCCTTGGTGAATTCTACCAAACATTTAAGAAAGAAATACTACCAATTATTCACGAACTCTTCCACAAAGTTGAAGAGCCGGAATACTTCCCAACTTATTCTGTGAAGCTAGCATTATGCTGGTACCAAAGCCAAACCTGGGCAAGAAATAAAGAAAATTAGAAAGAAAAAAAAAAAAGCAAGAAAGCAAGCAAGAAAGAAAATTAGAGACTAAGATCATTCATGAACATTGGTGCAAAACTCGTTACAAAAAATAAAAACAAAACAGCACATCAAATTCAACAACGTACATCATGACCAAATGGGAATTATTCCAGAAATGTAAGGCTGACTTAACATTAAAAAAAAAAAAAAAATCAGTTAATGTAATTCACATTAAACAACTAAAAGAGAAAAAGAAAAACACATAGGATTATGAACACTAGAGTCCAAGAGAATGCCCTAAAAATCCCTATTTTCACCTTTGTGTAGTTTTCTTCCACCTTTAACCAGGATTAGCCAGGGTAACCTATGAAATATAGCAGAAGTGATGGCTCATCACTTTCAGTTTAAGGTACTGACAAATACTATGACTTTGGTCTTTTTTTTTTTTTTTTTTTTTTGGAGTCTCACACTGTTGCCCAGGCTGGAGTACAGTGGCACAATGTTGGCTCACTGTAACCTCTGCCTCCCAGGTTCAAGCAGTTTTTCTGCCTCAGCCTCCCAAGTAGCTGGGATTATAGGTACCTGCCACCATACCCAGCTAGTTTTTTGTATTTTTAGTAGAGATGGGATTTCACTATGTCAACCAGGCTGGTCTCAAAGTGGCTTTGTTCTTGTGTGAGTTCTCTCCTGGATCACTTGCTTTGTAACTATTTCTCTACAATGGAATACTCTTAGCAAAGTATAAATGAAAACAAATGAACTATGAATCACAGAACACCATTATGAACCATAAAATAATTTCAGAATTTAAGAAATCAGGAACATTAGAATACATATTAAATTACTGTATCTCTGTTGAATTCTAGGAAAGACAAATAAATCTACAGTGACAACAAATCAATGGCTGCCTGGGGATGGGCGAAGGAAAGTGAGAAAATATAAAGGAAATCAGGAAACTTTTGGGAAAGAAGTGTATCAAAACTTATCAAGCGGTACACTGTAAATATGTGCAGTTTATTGCAAAAATGTTTAGACTGACTTCTGGACAGTAATCTTAGCCATAAGAGACACAGGTATGGGAATATTTCTGTAAACCCTCATAGTAGAGCCAGAGTAATGGAAACACATGTGGATGTACCTTTAGAAGGGTCATATTCCTTACGGTTTGCTGCAGTTTTCCCATCCCCTTAATAATTTGGGTCTCTGCACCAATTATGATTCCTACCTGGGCCTTTTGGAGGACAGCCAGTGTCAACTTCCTACTGAAAAACAGATTTCAGAGACCTTGACAGGTCCCATGAGTTCAAATTCTCCTTAAGAAGCCTTGAGAATAAGAAATATCTTCTGGGGAAAAGGGACCTAATTCACGTTGCTCCCAGATACAGCAGAGATTATCACAACAAATGCCCACTGCTTAGGGTGACCTCAATTACGCAAAAATCCTGACATACAGACCAAAAGATTAGGTCTGCAAAGACTGGCATTCTTTCCTTAAGCAGCAAAGCAAGTTAGGCTGACAGTAGAACAAGAGATATTCTTTGCCATCCTACTATCACCTCAGAGATACAAATAGTTGGAGCTCTCACAAAAGCTGTTCATCCCTTCATACTGGCTTAGCCCAATTCTGTTCTAAACCTAACCCACATAGCGAACAGAATCCCCAAGATTTATGGTAGTCTAAAAATTAAGGCATTTGTTGCAAAACCAGAATATGAGGCAGCCAATTTCAGATTAGATGTCTTAGAGCCCGGACAAATCAATCAGAAGTGCCATGTGAGATCAACCATATCCATGAAGAAGGGAACCCTCTGCTAGTGGTCAGCAGAACAAAGCTCCTATCTTTCTGGCTAAAACTGGGTCATGCTCATGCTTCAACCAGTTGTGGGGCAGATAAAAGTGAGAATCCTTGATGGCCACAGGCTACTGATGATTCCCTCAAGGGAAGGGAGAAGCACAGAGGCCTGCCTTTTGAAGCACATTAGGGTTACTTTTGCACAATGCAGGACTCTTCCAGCACAAAGACAGATGGCTTCTATCAGAGGCACTACCTTGATGAAATTCCAGCAAGGGTCTAGAAAATTCAGCATAGCTCCAGAAAGCTTCCCATATAGCTGGCACTCAGAAGAACCTCCCTAGAGTGAGTGTTTGAGTGTATAAAGTTCTACTTTTGGCTACTGGCTACACATAAAGACTGCTACTCTTGGCGCTTCTCTCTGGGGTCAGTTATTATGTTAAACAAAAAAAATGGAGTATCTATCTTCCAGCCTAAGGCCTTTCTCCAGTGTGAATTTTCCAATGTCGGATGAGGGAAGCTCTCTGCCTGAAGGCCTTCCCACATTCACTGCACTTATATGGCCTTTCTCCAGTGTGAATTCTATGATGCTGAATGAGGACATGTTTGTGGCTAAAGGCTTTTCCACATTCACTGCACACATAAGGCTTTTCACCATTATGAACTCTTTGATGTGCAATAAGGTCAGAGCTTTGGCTAAAGAACTTTCCACATGCAATACACTCATAAGGCCTTGCTCCAGTATGAACACTCCAATGTTTAATGAGTCTGTATTTGTGACCAAAGTACTTTCCACATTCACTGCACTCATAAGGCCTTTCTCCAGTGTGGATACTCTCATGCTGAACAAGTGTAGACTTGTGGCTATAGGCTTTCCCACATTCACTGCACTTGTAAGGCCTTGCTCCAGTGTGTACTCTTTGATGTACAATCAGGTTAGAACTATGATTAAAAACTTTCCCACAAATGCCACACTCGTAAGGCATTTCTCCAGTGTGGATTCTCTGGTGCTGAGCAAGTATGGGTTTGCGACTGAAGGTTTTCCCACATTCACCACACTCATAAGGCCTTTCTCCAGTGTGGACTCTCTGGTGTTGAACGAGTGAGTCTTTGCGGCTAAAGGTTTTCCCACATTCACTGCATTTGTAATGCCTTTTTCCACGGTGAAAGGCCTCCTTACACTTGGTGCTGCTGTGTGGCTTCCATTCATTGTGAGGGACATGGTGCTGGAAAATGCCTGAGCTGGCTAGGAAGTCCTTACAAGCCTCTGTCACAAAAGACATCTCTGATGATTGGACAGGGCAGTTGTTCACAAGAAAGGCCTTGCTCTTTTCCCTTCTAAAGGGTTTCTCTCCACTGTGCTGCTTCTGGTGCTGGTGAAGGTTTGTACTAAACCAGAACTGTTTCCCACACAGGACACACATGTATGGTTTCTGCCCTGGGTGTGTTTCCTGGTGCTCAGCCAAGTGCAAAATGTCTTTTAAGACCAGGCCACATGTCCCACAGGGGTAAGCCTTCTGAGTAAAAGGACTTCCCTTAGGAATCCTGATCTGTGACAATCCTATAGAAAAGCTCTGCTCAAAAGGTATCTCTTCATCCTTCATTCCAGGCCAACAACCTGAAAACAAAGAAATGCTAGTGAAGTACAAATTGACACAGGTGGAAGAGGGGAAGCCTCACTACAAATATGTGTCTAACACAACTAAGACCAAGGTCATAGGACTGTCGTTAGGACAAGGGTCCAAACTCAAGTTCAGCAAATGTGTCCTATACAGTAGTTGGCATCTAAATGTCATAGAATGGAGGAGGCCTCAACTGGGAGAGGACAAAGATGTGGGGTACAGCACAAAAAAGAGGCAGGGTCTCAAAGTCATTCACAATCAGATTTTCTTGGCTGCTGGGGACAGGTAAGAGTTGTGCAAAAGGTTATGGTCCATACCAAAGAAAATCAAATTGCTACTTAGTAGTTGGTTAAGGATTATTTGGGATACACATCTCATGAAACACTAAGTTTAGAACAATGTTGGAAGACACTGTAGAACAAGCCACGGAGAGGAACAGGCAAGACTTGGAGGCAGAGGTATGAAACATCCAGAGGCCAAAGGCCAGAGCATGAAAGTCAAGTGTATAAATGAGAAAGTAGATAAAAATGAAGTATGGCTCAGTGTCCCTAGCACTAATACAACTGTAGGCACTAGGAGGCTATGGAATGATATGAACCCAGCCCTGATATCACACCTTTCCCCAGCTCCCACTTGCCAGGGCCACTCCCACTTAGAGTCCCTGTGGCAACAACTGGAGTCACGTCCATCCAGTCAGGTACCCATCACCAGTGAGGCAACTATGTGGGATGTAAAAGATGTATGTCCTAGGGAAAGACAGAAAAGCACTGGTTTGGATAACCCATATAGAAAACTAAATATTATTAAAATAATCTCAGAGTAGGGTCTTGCCAGAATAGCCCAGTGGTCCTAGCAAGTAGTGACTATAATGGTCCATACAATTCCTGGTATAGGCAGGCCACAGGAACTGTCAGCTAAAGGAAGAGTGCAGAATCCCAGGCACAGAGGTATCATGGATACAGACAGAGGAATTCAGACAAGAAAAGGACAAGATGGATATGACACACTGGGCTGAAAATACAATGCATAACTCCTGAATCCGTCCCTGTAAGGCTTTGAGACAGGAGGTTTTGGGAATGCTCAGGAGGAGGAGGTAGAAGAACAAACAGCCCAAGCCCAGCACTCAGAGAACGTACTACCGGAACTAAGAAAGGGGGCAGTGTCCATGGCTCTGATGTAGGAAGGACAAGGATGCTCTGAAAAAAACGGGAAGGGCAGGGCCCAGTCCAAGTCACTGGGGTGGATGTGATGGCCTTACCCAGAGAGGCCATAAGTGCAAAGTTCTCCAGCATCACATCACGGTACAGGAGCCTCTGAGCCTCATCAAGGAGCACCCACTCCTCTTGGGAGAAGTACACGAACACGTCCTCAAAGTTCACCTGCCCCTGCCACAATTGGGAGAGCCAAGTCCATGAGCAGCATCTCTCCCAAGAACCCCCATCCATGCCCCCACACATCGCCATCCTGTATACCTTCCTACTTAACTCAACTCAGAGGACATATGAGGATCAGGTGCCATTGGTGTTTTCTCCCTCCTCATGGTCCTAATGATGACTGTGTCTACCCATAGCAACCACAGGCAGGTGAAGAATTGTCACCCTCTAAGTTCTGTGCCTAGCATACAAGGCTTCACCCTTCTGTAAGCAAATTCCTCTGGGGTCACTAATATCATGCTTACCAGACAACCAAAGTTGGGCTCGCTTTTCTCCTTTAAGCCCAGAGGTCATTAGTCTACACTTCTTTCTACATGTACATCACTCTTTGGATCACAGTTATCTCACATCTCTGGCTCTCTACCATCACCTTCCTGGCTCACTAAATGAAATGAATATTCTCTTTTAACCTCCAATCTACATAATCAGCTTTAAGCTATTTCAGGATGATTCCCACCCCTTGCTCTTGGTTCCCACCAGGCATTGTAAGAGACCTGCAATTTCTTGAAAACTCCCATTTCAGCCTCACCTCTAAGTATTTGCACAGACTGGTTCCTGTGCCTGGAACAACCTTCCAACCATATTCCAGTGGTTGGCAGAAATGGAAACCCCTCCATAAAACCCCTGGCCCAGACTCAGGACCCTGGGCTTGGGGCTTCTCCAGAGTCCTCAGACCCAAGAGATCGGAGAGTAGCAGGAAAGTGTTCTATATAACACCACAATCCTGGAGAGCATGTTGGGTGGGGTGGGATCTGTGAGAGTATGGACATTCTCCCCTCACCTGTATATGGTCCATAATAACTTCTGAGTTCATGTGAACCTGTGGAGAAAAGGGAGACTGTGAGAGCCAAGCAATCTTGAAGGAACCCCAGAGGCTCAGGCCCGTCCCACGTTCCTATGCTGTTACAAAGTGCCTGGGGGCTGAATGTCTACCCTCTGTGCTTCCATCTTCAAGGATGCCTCTTAACTGTGTTACCTCGGAATAGTGCTCATTATCCGCCCCCATGGCCAAAAAAGTCTGTTCCCCCAAGCTGTCTATGGAATACTTTAAACCCTCAGATCGTGGCTCTCCTTTGTTTAGAACCTTCCATGACTCCCATCACCCTCAGAATAGAAACCCAGCTGCTCAGGATGATATTCCGGGTGTGATCACTTATAACGCACTCTGATCCTTTCAGACACCAAAGACCCAGTTTTCCCAAACGCTCCAGCTGTGTACCACCCCTGAGCCTTTGCATACGCTTGTCCCTCTGCCTGGAACGTCCTTCAACTCATGTCAAATTGGGTTCCAAGCAAAAGTGCCCCGCTGTTCTAGATACAGGGGCCTGAGCTGCAGTAACCCGAGAAGCCGTTCATTCGAAACTTTAGGATTGAGAGATGGGGGTCAGAGCGCGGACTCGCGGACGCAGCACCCACCTGCGCCTGGCCCATCGGTGCAGCCGCCGCCATCAGGCCAGTGAACTACGGAAGGGTGGCGACAAGTGAGAACCTGGGATCAGCCGTGAAGGAACAAACCCAGCGGCTAGGTTACTCAGACAACGCCACTGTCGAATCTCAGGTCCACCTCTCTTCAAGGAAAATGACGCTGTCTCACGTTTTCCCGTTTCTGTCACCTCAGGTCTGACATCGCGTTCCGGAGACTAAGCCAGTAGATTAATGGAAAAGCAAACAAAATGTCCACCCGAGGATGGTTGAGGAAGTCCCGCCCTGGCATTTTCCACACCAACGGTAACGCCCATTTCCTGGGCTTTCATTGGCCCACAACCGCCAAGTTTTCTGGGTAATGTAGTTCCCATGGCACCAATGCTAGTGAGCGGCGTCCGGCGTCACCAGGTCACATCTCTTTGTCACTTGCTCTACCTTTTACCTGAATATTTTAAACTTGTTTTTATTCATAGCTGCTTCCTTCTCATTTTTTTTTTTTTTTGGTGTCAACTCAATTATCACCTTCAAGAAAGCCGCCCACATCCAACTCATCTGAATGGACACTGTCCTGAGCCTTCAGCTTAAACATTTCCAAATGTGTCTTCGGTACAACTGCCATTCCCTCACATTCTCCCCTTTATATCCCCTGTCATTTTCACCACTATTTAGAACAACTTCTGGCATTTTTTATTTACGTTTGCTTGTTCGTTTTTACCATTCTAGGTTCAGCTCCCAATATGGACTTAGCAAATTCTACAAAACCAGACAGATGAGGTAGATTAACAAACTATGGTGTATACAGACAATGGAGTACTACTTAGCAGTATAAAGAATAAAGCATTACTACACAAAACAAGGTGAATCAAGGCTTGAGCATAAGACTGTGTTTGGACAATAACAGGACATAGAGCTGCTTACCTGTTGTGGAACCAAACTGCTCTTCTGAAATATTAGGCTCCTTCCTCCTTGATGAAATGGTTATATTTTCCCATCCTATGGCCTCATCTCTCTGTCTACTTTTCCTTATACTGATAGTTGAGATGGAAAGTTAGTTTGGGCTCTCTAGATGAGGTGGCCAGACTTCAAGTGTCTAAGGACCAGATGGCCATCTCCATGGAAGTCTAGAGTTGCTGGGTGGTGACTCATGCCATTAAGCTCTAAACTTGAGGAGGGCAGGAGATGTCATCAAAATTTATTTAGCTGGTTACAGCCCTCAGTCTTCACTCATTCCCTGCAGCTGCTCATGTGTTGAGCACCTATGATAAGACCTTGAGGTGCATCTGCTTCTCATGCCACCTTGGGTAGGTTAGGCTTTCCAAACACTGAGGAATGTGCTTGCCAGCCCTAAAGGACATATGGCCAAAGGCAGAGTCTTGGACTCAAACTCTGATGTTCTCGTTCCTTATAAACATATAAATATTCCTAAAGGTTGGAAATAAAAATGGATTCCAGAAGTTAGAGAGAAAATATATAGACCCAGCATGTGTTGCTATTTAAAAAAAAAAAATAGCAGCCGGGCGCGGTGGCTCAAGCCTGTAATCCCAGCACTTTGGGAGGCCGAGGCAGGTGGATCACGAGGTCAAGAGATCGAGACCATCCTGGTCAACATGGTGAAACCCCGTCTCTACTAAAAATACAAAAAAAAAATTAGCTGGGCATGGTGGCGCGTGCCTGTAATCCCAGCTACTCAGGTGGCTGAGGCAGGAGAATTGCCTGAACCCAGGAGGCGGAGGTTGCCGTGAGCCGAGATCGTGCCATTGCACTCCAGCATGGGTAACAAGAGCGAAACTCCGTCTCAAAAAAAAAAAAAAAAAAAAATAGCTTCATGGGATTTGTTTTATTAACTCAATGAGATATAAGTGAATTTCTTTTTCTTTTTCTTTTTTTTTTCTTAAGATGGGGTTTCACCATGATGGCCAGGCTGGTCTTGAACTCCTGACCTCAGGCAATCCACCCACCTCAGCCTCCCAAAGTGCTAGGATTACAGGCGTGAGCCACCGCACCTGGCTATAAGTGAATTTCTTATGTAGATAATGATTTTACCTAAGCCAAATGATTAAATAGTCTGCTCTATCCTCACCAATCACATTATTTGCAGTTCTACGCATATGAGTCAGTTTTAGTTGATTGTCTCTTCCTGTGATAAAATTAAGTTGTATACATATACTCTTTATTTCAAAACTGTCACACAGTTCACTATAATGTTCAGAAGAGGTATAGCTTGTTTTTTAATTAATACCACATCTGTGAAAAAACCAGTCATGAAAAACATAGTTTCTTTCTTTTTTTTTTATTTTTTGAGACAGAGTCTTGCTCTGTCGCCCAGGCTGCAGTGCACTGGTGTGATCTTGGCTCACTGCAACCTCTGCCTCCCAGGTTCAAGTGATTCTCCTGGGATTGCAGGCGCCTGCCACCACACCTGGCTAAAAAACAGTTTCCTAGGCATCCTCTCTTTTCACATCACCTTACATGCCTGACACACCCCATCAAGCTAACATTTCCATGACATTTTTATTAATGGTTTTGATAATCATTCTATTAATGTCTTTATAGTCTTACCACATATATATATTTTCCTAAATGTTATATGGGTTTCTTATTGCCAGATTCTGAATTTTCTATATGTTTTCTACTGTGTGAAAGATTCCGTAATATGTTTGTTGGATTTGTTCACAAAGGTTCATGTCATGATGGTCAGCTAATTTTCATGGCTTACCCATAATCTATTAGATGAATGATTCAGAATCCATTCTAATAGATGTTCTCAAGGAAGCAAAACATTTATTCCTTTGCTTGGTTTAAGAAGGGGAAATTTGTCTACACATTGTCCAACTCCTGTCATGGATTCATCACTCCTCACTCTCCTCCTCCTCTCCTCCCCTCCCTTCCACATGCCACATAATTGTCTAACTGAAATAACTAATGCCATAGTTTGAACGGGTAAAGAACATGTGTCTCTCTAGTCTACCATATTCTCAATCCCAATATTGACTCCCCTCCTCCTTTTCAGAGTCAGCTAGTACTGAACACCCATTCCAGAAATCCCCAAGAAGGAGGGAAGGCTTCATTTTCTCTTGTCCTCATAAGTCACCCCAAGGCTGTGTTGAAATTGGCTATTATTCAGCCCACAGGCGGAAGGGGCAGGAAAAGAAGCAGGGAAATTAAACTGACATGAGAGGACTAGATTCAATGGAAATGGAGGTAGTGGGATGACATATAATAAAGGGTTGACATCTTTTTTTAATCAATAGTTGTGTGTTGTAAACAACAATCTAGTATTCTACCCACGTGTGAGGAATTGGCTTTATATTTGGAAATGGAAGAGAAGTGGGAACATGGAGCAGAAAAGGATGAAGGGGAGAAATTCAGGGGGAGTTCACTTACGGGTTTGCCACCTGTTGTTGTGACTGTATACCAATGTTGGGTCCTTGAGGAAGGAAAGAGCACAAATGAGCATGGGGTGAAGGAGGAAAGTAAATCCTTGGGCTCCCCTACACTATCGTCACCTACATCCAGAATTCAGAGCGTTTTCTTATTATCATGCATCAGGCATTGCTTGGCCACTGTTGACTTTAACATTGGGTGTCCCCTTGCCAAGGGAAATTTGGGAATGTATACGTGGCTCTGCCCAAAGAAAACTCTTTATTGTGGCCCTGAAGATCCTCTTCAAGTCCTTCAAAAGAAGGAAAGATTGGAGTATCAGCTGCAGGAAACTGAAATCCAGGCCCATCTCCAATTACAACAGTCTCAGGATGAGTCCGAGAGAACTTCTATACCCTGATTTCTCCTCCATCTCCATCTCCATCAGCTCCATCTCCATCAGCTCCATCTCCATCATCATCTCCATCTCCATAATCTCCATCTATCTCCATCTCCATCATCTCCATCTCCATCATCTCCATCATCTCTATCTCCGTCTCCATCATCTCCATCACCATCATCATCTATTATCTCCATCTCCATCATTACCTATCACCTCCAATCACCATCTCCATCTATCTCCATCTCCATCTCCATCATCATCTATCATTTACATCTCCATCATTAACTATCATCTCCAATCTCCACCTCCGCAGCTACGCCCACTTCCTCGAAGTTTGGCGCATTGGGAACTATGTTGCCTAGAAGGCGCCGCGCCGCTAGGCGGCGACGCTTGGGCAATGAAAAGAGACCTGCCCAAGCGTGCGACGCGCAATCGGCGAGACTTCCGGCGTCGCCCGTCGGCGGTGACTTCCGCTGCTCTAACGGTGAACTTAGCCTGCGGGAAGCTGGTTGTGGGCTGAGGCTACCAGCGCCGGAAGGCGCGTTAGCGACGCGCACTGCTCTTGCCGCTCAGAGGGGAGTCTGAGGCTCGGTGGCGGCGCCTAGAGTGGCCCAGGTGCTCTCCTCGGTCTGTCGTTGTCTCCCCCGCCCGGCTCAACCCACAGGCTCTGATGGCGGCGGCCGCGCTGAGGGAGCCCGCTCAGGTGAGCGCCGCGTTCTCCTGGCGTCCCCTGAATCCTAAAGCCCTGTGAGGGCCGCCTGCTCAGGTCCCCGGGTGGTGGGGCTTGATACGCAGTGTGATGGATTAGGAAGGGAGGGCAAGGGGCCTGGCTCGCAAAGATGTGAGGCACACTCCGCGAGTCCCGAACCTGAGGCCTCCTGGTGTCTGTAGTAGGCAGCTTGGGAAGGGACGAGTCAAGTGTGGAGCCACAGCAGCTGCGCCTTCATCCTGAGGGGGCTACGGTGGCCGCGGAGGGCTGGGGACAGAAGAGTGACACGATCCGTTTCAAAAAGTTTACCAAAGGCAAAACAGACTGGAGTGAGGGTGAGGCGGGTAAAGACAGACCTGTGAGTAGGTAAACTCAATAGACTAGACAAGTAGAACTGGGCCATAGAGAAGGAGTAGTGATCAGATCTTGGGTGGATTTCAAAAACTGAACAGACGGGAATTCCTGTTGCATCAGATGTGACTGTGAAAGAAAGTAAGGAATGAAGAGCCATTCTGGATTTTTATTTGTATTTTTGTTTGTTCCTGAATATCAAGAAGAATGGAGATGGGGAAGGCTACACAGGGAGTAGGTTTTGGGCATGGTGATCCTGAGATGTCCCAGAGTGGAGGTGTCATGACCACATGGGCAGCTTGCTTACTCACATCTGGAAGTTTGGGAAGCGATCTGGGCTGGAGATACCCAAGACGTGGTGGGTAGAGGCCTGGATTAGGGTAAGGACTGGGGCTCCTATTTAGGAGCGAGAATCTTAAGGTTTTCTTTCAGATGGGCCCTGAGGTGAGAGAAGGGAGAGATGGGCCTGTAGGATGGGGCTGCCTCTATAGCATGGAGTTTTGTGGCCCGAAGTGGGTCTATCTGGTGTCTGCAGGAATGGAGGATTATAAAGACCCAGGACTGGATGGATACTGCAGGGTAGTATTAAGGTTTTCCACTCCAGGCTCAGCAGGTCCTCATGTCCAGTCCATCTGGAGAAGAGGAAGGGTCAGCCAGGCTGGTGGAGCAGCCCCTTTGGTGCCTAAGTTTCCCTAGCCATCAGCACAGGAGAGATGATAACTGCTCCAGTAGAAGGGCTCTCAGCAGTATTGCCTTCAGGAGAGTATGTAACAGGCAGCCAGATTACCAAAAGAAATGGTATCTGCTCAGGTTCCTCAGAGCCAGGTCCCAGTTTATTAACTTGTGAATTTATGAGTTAAGTACTTATTTAAGCACTGATTGATCATAGTTCATATGCACACAGAGGCAAATAAAACAACACAGGTTTATTAAGTTAAACTGATGTAAGCACTTCATAATTGGTTGTAAACTTAATATACTGTAAAGTATTAAGATAAAATACCTTAAATATCACATTCTTAATTAAAAAGTATGTTAAAGAAACCCACATTTTTGCTGGGCATGGTGGCGCATGCCTGTAGTCCCAGCTACTCGGGAGGCTGAGGTGGAAGGATCGCTTGAGCCGAGGAGCTCTGGGCTCTAGTGCGCTATGCTGATTGGGTGGCTGCACTAAGTTTGGCATCAATATGGTGACCTCCCGGGAGCAGGGCACCACCAGGTTGCCTAGGAGAGGTGAACAGGCCCAGGTCGAAAACGGAGCAGGTCAGAATTCCTATGCTGATCAGTAGTGGGATCGTGCCTGTGAATAGCCACTGCACTCCAGCCTGGGCAACATAGCGAGACCTCGTCTCAAAAAAAAAAAAAAAAAGATGTGAGGTATACTCAGAGTGCCGAGCCTACGGCCTCCTGGTTCAGGTAAGTAAGTAAGGAGGCCACATAAAAGATGTGCACCTCACACTTTTTTTTTTTTTTTTTCCGAGACAGAGTTTTGCTCTTGTTGCCCAGGCTGAAGTGCGATGGCAAAATCTCTGCTCACTGCAACCTTTGCCTCCTGGGTTCAAGCAATTCTCCTGCCTCAGCCTCCTGAGTAGCTGGGATTATAGGCACTTGTCACCATGCCTAGCTAATTTTTGTATTTTTGGTAGAGATGAGGTTTCACCATGTTGGCCAGGCTAGTCTCAAAATCCAGACCTCAGGTGATCCGCCCACCTCAGCCTCCCAAAGTGCTGAGATTACAGGTGTGAGCCACTGCACCCAGCCAGAAACCCACACTTTCAAAACCTACCAGTTTATTTGCACTGAAAATGTTGACAGAAACATTAATTATGTGTACAGTAAGAGTTGATACTTAGTCCTAGACACATAAGAATGAGTTTGATACAAACAGTAGTCCTATTGAGTGAATACCATTATTATTGCCATGTTGCAGATGGCAACACCAAGGCACAGGGAAATTGTGCATTCTTCCAAAAGCCCACAACAGGTAAGAGGCATTACTAAGAACCAAAGTCCAGATTGTAGATAGTCAGGCACACCTGACTCCAGGGTAGAGGAGGGGGCTTGGATGATCCTTTGCCAACATCACTGTCTGCTTCTCATGGCCTTGTTTTTCCATAGATTCTTGTGGCTGCAGAGTTACTTATAGACAATGAAGAGGTAAGTGGAGGATGTTTAAGGTCCTCATCCTCCTCAACTCCTACCTACATGGTCTTCAGAATTATGGTGTCTTGGGACTCCTTGCTTGTTATTCTCACTGCCGTTCCATTTGAGTTCCCTGGAAGATGATCATACAAAGTCAGGGCCCTGAGTCCAGACTATATAATTTTACTTATTTATTTAGAGATAGAGTTTCACTCTTGTTGCCCAGACTGGAGTGCAGTGGTGTGTTCTCAGCTCACCGCAACCTCTACCTCTGGGGTTCAAGCGATTCTCCTGTCTCAGCCTCCCAAGTAGCTGGGATTACAGGCGTGTGCCACAACACCTGGCTAATTTTGTATTTTTAGTAGAGACGGGTTTCCTCTATGTTGATCAGGCTGGTCTCGAACTCCCGACTTCACTTGATCCACCTGCCTCAGCCTCCCAAAGTGCTGGGATTACAGGCGTGAGCCACTGTGTCTGGCCCAGACTATATATTACATGGAGGGATTCTCATTGCTGGCAACCAATGACAGGTTTAGAAGGTATAGTGATCAACATTAGAAAATACATGGGGGTAAGGTTGTGCTGGGAATGCCTAGGCAACCTTAGATCTCCGTTATGTCAAACATCAGCAAGTATAAGGTAGACCCGAAGTGGTTGGCTGAGGAGCTGAGCCTCTGTTCTTTGTATTTTTGTTTGTTCCTTAATATCAGGAAGGATAGAAATGTGGAAGGCTGCAAAGCGAGTATGGACCAGTCTTAACAAGCTTTTTCTGCTATTGAGAACAACTGTAGGGTTAAAGGTAGAGGCAGGGAGATCAACAAAGAGACTACTGCAGTTATCTAGGGAGTGCTGACCAGAATGGTGCCTGTGGACATAGGAGATGTGGTTGGAGTCTGTGTTTTTTAAGTAGATGTGAGCAGATTTTCTAAAGTGTAGGGTTGGGGAGAGAGAGGTGAATGGTAAGAGTAATTTTCAATGGGAATAATTAAACTAGTTTCGGCCATGTTGAAATGAGATTTTCCAGAGACCCTTGAGTGTATTCATTGAATGGGCACCTGGACAGAGAAGTCTGGAATTCAGTGAAGGGTTCAGATTGGAGACCCACACAATACAGCTGGTATGTGGACCAAGATGGAGCAGTGGAGCAGATTTAGGAGGGAGCATCTTGAGGTCCTTTTGGTAATGCCATTAGATAATAAGGGAGAATGTATAGGGGCCAAGAATTGGTTCTCTTGCTTGGATACCTGGATGGGAGTGGTGGACTTCACAAGGACATGAAGGCAAATGGTGGCCATGGGGAAGGGGATGTAGGGGTGAGGAGGGTCTGGCTGGTGGCCAAGGTTCCTGTGGGGGTAGACATGAGATGGACATGAAGTTATAATGGACATGAAAGATAACAGGAAGGCTGGCACTGCTGGTTATTCATCCAACTGTGGAATCACAAGGCTTTTGTTCTTACCTGGGACCTGGGGAGTTTCTCAGGCTGCTGGATTAGCTCAAGATCAAATGAGGTCGTCTGGGAGAATTGCTAGGCCTGGTTTGGGAGACATATGGCCTAGGCTTATTTTTTTCTGTTTTTTGAGACTCAGTTTTGCTCTTGTTGCCCAGGCTGGAGTGCAATGGCGTGATCTTGACTCACCGCAACCTCTGCTTCCAGGTTTAAGCAGTTCTCCTGCCTCAGCCTCCGGAGTAGCTGGAATTACAGGCATGCACCATGCCCTGCTAATTTTGTGTCTTTAGTAGAGATGAGGTTTCTCCATGTTGGTCAGGCTGGTGTTGAACTCCTGACGTCAGGTTATCTACCCACCTTAGCTTCCCAAAGTGCTGGGATTATAGGTGTGAGCCCTGTGCCTGGCCAGGTCTGGGATTTTAATAAGAGTCAGAGCAAGGGTGACACAGGAAGGGACAGCTTTTCAACACAGAAATGGAAGAGTGCCAGAGGTGTCCAGATACGCATGCAATTCCAGGTAGCTGAAGATGAAGCAAGAAAAACAGCCAAGTAGGGAGGCCTTCAAAGTGGGGCTGAGAGTTGCTCCTGCCATTCAGTGCCATTGGAGGTCTAGGATGGCATGTTCTCATTGCATTTGGTAAGTGCCCTCTGAATGCCATGTGTAGACTGGCATGTGGTGACGCTTGGAGGGGGAATATAAGGTGGTGTCGGAGGCGGTGGATGTGGTACAGAGTATGTGCATATTCTAGTGAGTGTAAACAGATGGCCCCAGGACCTTGTATTGGGGGCTTAAGGGACAACACTGATACAAATTTGATTGTATTTGGGAAACACAATCTGGGGGACTCAAGGCCAGTTGTCTGGCAAGAGAAGAGTAGGACTCTGCATACCATGCCCAGAGCTGAGATGGACTCTTATCTGCCTACCTGCCTGTCGTTGCTCAATGGGACCATGAGGAAAGAGTGGGCGTAAGTGGCTCTGGGGCAGGGTCTTTCCTCTGAGATGGGGATTAGGGAAGAGGGTGAGCAGGGGTGTATATTTGGAGAGATGTCTAAAGTCCCCATTAAGGAGACCACATATAAACTCAACTCTCTCCATCTTAGCAGGGCTGTGTGGCCTTTGAGGACGTGGCTGTCTACTTCTCCCAGGAGGAATGGAGATTGCTTGATGAGGCTCAGAGGCTCCTCTACCGCAATGTGATGCTGGAGAACTTTTCACTTATGGCCTCTCTGGGTAAGGTTCTCACACCTCATCCCAGCATCCTGGGCTGGGCTCAGCTCTTCCTCCTTTTTCTGGGGACAAGTCTGTTCTTCCCAAAGCTGAATTGTGGGCACTGAATCCTTCTCCAATATCATGAAGTATCTATTGTAATAGGCCTGGGCTGTGTATACTACCACCTTCTCTCCCCAAGCTGCCCCAGAGCTGTGGAGGAAAGGATTTGGGGGTCGGCAGTCTTGCAGTCAGTTTGATGGATCTTACCCCTGGTGGCCTCTCTGTGGCCTGGTGACACTGTGCAGATCTGTGGCAGTTCTGTGTCCCTATATTCTGCCTGCTGCTTCTAGCCAACATATCTGGGTGTCTGTCTGTGCCAGGAATTGAGTCACTAATGTGATTGTTATTTGACTGGCTTGTTCCTGCAAGAACATCCTCCAAGGTTCTTTCTGTACCATTTTGTTTTCTTTCCTGTGGTCCATGATGGGATAAGTCATTCTGGCTCAGTGCTGCCACTGAGCTATCCTTTTCTTTAGGACTTGCATCTTCCAAGACCCATGAAATAACCCAGCTGGAGTCATGGGAAGAGCCCTTCATGCCTGCTTGGGAAGTTATGACTTCAGCCATACCAAGAGGTACTTGGTGGGTGGAGCTCAGGGAGGTATGAACTCAGGGATGGGTTCATATCATACCAGGAGTCTTTCCAGTGGGTCAGATATTTTGATACCAAAGCAAGGGGTCATTGCTGATTTCTATCTTTTCTTCCTCAGTCACCCATTTATATCTTCTGATATCTGACCCAGGGCCATTCCCCACCTCTCTGTCCTCCGTGTTTGACCCAGTCCTCAGCAGCACCCTTCAGCAATGGCTTTCACTGAATGTGTGGTGAGGTGGGGGCTTATCTTTGCATAGTCCTTGAAAACCAGCTGTTTGGTTGCAGTTAGTATTTTCTGGTCCTGGACATACCCTTCTGTGCTGTGTTCCTGTGTCTCCAGCAGCCAAAGCCCTATGGAAGGCCATTTGGAGATAATTGTGTTGGGGACCCTGTCTCTCCTCCTTCTGCTACATCCCATCCTTGCATCTTTGATGCTCATAAGTCCTCCCCAAATCGAATTCATGAACTGGCCAGTTTCAGCATTGCACAGCAGGCCCTTCCTTGCTGAGAGCTAGCACCCTCATTTCTGTCAGCAGTTCCAGGCACTAGTTACTGGGTGAGTCAGACACATTTGTGAGAGTGCTACCTCCTCACACCAAAGTCTATATATACTTCAACAACATTTCTTCCAGGTTGTTGGCATGGAGTGGAGGCCAAGGAGGCTCCTAAGCAGAGTGCTTCTGTAGGAGCGCCTGGTTCAAATGTTCAGCAACACCAGAAGCAGCACTGTGGAGAGGAACCCTTAAAAAGAGAAGAGGGCAGGATCCCAGTTTTGAGAAGTTGCAGAATCCACCTGTCAGAGAAGTCCTTGCAAAGCAGGGAGGTTGGAAAGGACCTTCCAACCAGCTCAGGTCTTCTTAAGCACCAGATGACTCACAGGGGAGAGGAGTCACATAGGACTACCAAAAGTAGGGAGGCCTTTCATGCTGGAAAAAGGCATTACAAATGCAGTGAATGTGGGAAAGCCTTTGGTCAGAAATATTTACTTGTTCAGCACCAGAGACTACATACTGGGGAAAAGCCTTATGAATGCAGTGAATGTGGGAAGTTATTTAGCCATAAGTCCAACCTTTTTATACACCAAATAGTTCACACTGGAGAAAGGCCTTATGGCTGTAGTGACTGTGGGAAATCCTTTAGCCGTAATGCTGACCTCATTCAACACCAGAGAGTTCACACTGGAGAAAAGCCGTTTACATGCAGTGAATGTGGAAAGGCTTTCAGGCATAATTCCACACTTGTTCAGCATCACAGAATCCACACTGGAGTAAGGCCTTATGAGTGCAGTGAATGTGGGAAATTGTTTAGTTTCAACTCCAGCCTCATGAAACATCAGAGAGTTCACACTGGAGAAAGACCTTATAAGTGCAGTGAATGTGGAAAATTCTATAGCCACAAATCCAGCCTTATCAATCATTGGCGTGTTCACACTGGAGAAAGACCTTATGAGTGCAGTGAATGTGGGAAATTTTTTAGCCAAAGCTCAAGCCTCATGCAACATCGAAAAGTTCACACTGGAGAAAAGCCTTTTAAGTGCAATGAATGTGGGAGATTCTTTAGTGAGAATTCCAGCCTTGTTAAACATCAGAGGATTCACACTGGAGCAAGGCCTTATGAGTGCAGGGAATGTGGGAAATTTTTTCGCCACAGCTCCAGTCTTGTTAAACATCGAAGGATTCACACTGGAGAAATGCAGTGATTGTGGGAAGCCCTTTAGCCAGCATTTCAACCTTGTTCAACACCAGAAAGTTCACCTTGGAAAAATGTCTTGAAGGTAACAAATGGAAATCCATTAGGCACATCTCCAGTCTCATTCAACATTGGACAGTTCACAGAGTCCAATTTAGTGAATGTGGAAAAAGGCTTTAGCTGTTTTTAGGCAATTTAGTGAATGTGGAAAAAGGCTTTAGCTAAAGGCCTAACTCTAGTCAACACCAGAAAGTTTAGACTGGAGAAGGCGTTAGGGTGGCAGGTTATATACTGTTTCTGAATCAATATGACCTGATTTAAAACAAACTTTGAGAATGGCCTTTATGAGGGAGCTGGCAATTGAACATCATTCATCTAAATATGCATCCTGGAGGCAGGATGAGAATTCGTGACAGATTGCCCCTCCTGAGAAGACAGCCCTTTGCCTGGGAGCTCCAGGGAGAGGGAGCCCTGTATTCCTGGCTGCACCCAGTCTGGAATGGAGTTTTAATCTCGCTGAGCTTGGAGGTGGGGGAGGGAAGGAGTGGTCTTGGTTCATGTGGGACTGACTTTTGCTGTTCTTATGAATATTAGATCTTCTTTAATATTTATTTGCCGTATATCCTTGTGACCATTTCCAGAGACTGAATTGTGTTTTTATAATTTTCACCAGTTTGGGTGCATAACAGGTCTGCAAAGCTCCTCACTCAGTTATTTTATAAGTTGATCCAAATGTTTGAAATTTTAAGAACTTGCCAAATTGTGTTCTAAATGGTTAGCATTTCACATTTCCTTCTGGAGTATATTAGATTTTCTGTTTCTTCACATTACTGACAGTTTATATGTATGGAAGTCATAGGCCGTTGATTTTAGCCATTTTAGTAAGTATGCAGTAGTAGTTCATTGTAGTTCTTACTTTGTATTTTCTGAGGACTGTTTTGAGCATTTTTAAATGTGCTTATTTGTCACCCATGTATCTTCTTTAGTGAAATATCTGTTGGTATTTTTTCCCTGTTTTTAAAACATTTGGTTGGTTACAAGTTCTTAATATTTCTGGAGACAAATTCCTTATTTGATGTAAGCGTTGCCAATATTTTCTCATGGTCTGTGGCTTTTGTTTTCTTTTTTAAAATTTAGAGATGAGGTCTTGCTATGTTGCACAGACTAGTCTGTAGCTCCTGGCCTCAAGTGATCCTCCTGCCTCTGTCTCCTAAAATGCTGGCGTTACAGGCATGAGTCACCATGCTTGGCCTTGTTTTCAGTTCTTTTTTTTTGTTTGTTTGTTTGTTTTGAGATGGAGTTTTGCTCTTGTTACCCAGGCTGGAGTGCAATGGCGCGATCTCAGCACACCACAACCTCCACCTCCTGGGTTCAGGCAATTCTCCTGCCTCAACCTCCTCAGTAGCTGGGATTACAGGCACGCGCCACCATGCCCAGCTAATGTTTTTTGTATTTTTAGTAGAGACGGGGTTTCACCATGTTGACCAGGATGGTCTCGATCTCTTGACCTCGTGATCCACCCACCTCGGCCTCCCAATGTGCTGGGATTACAGGCTTGAGCCACCGTGCCCGGCCTGTTTTCAGTTCTTAACAGTATCTTTCCAAGAGTAGATTGTCTTAATTTTTAAGAAGTCCAGTTTTTCTGTTTGTTATTTTATTCATTGTGCATTTGGTGTTGTATTCTCTATCATATCTTTGTCTATAAATAAAAGCCTTATGTGAGTATGCTACTATAGTCTTATGAATCTTTTAAAATATCCAACTTCTGAAATATTTATAGGTTTAACTACAGATAAAGAATTCAGTGCATATAGATAATGTGCACATATTTCCAATCTTTTCTGAGATAGCCTAGCAAGCAGTGGCATGCCAGTAGCTTTGAGTACATTTAATTCCCATTTATTGGTTTATATAATTTTTTAAAAACAGAATCAGAAGTCTTTAGAGAAGAGGCTGTTTTCAGGTTGTGACAGAAAAGGTACAACATGAGTCTAGGAAATATTGCATTGGAAACTGAAGAAATTCTCATAGAATAATGTTTATTTATTTGCTTTCTATTGCTATCCTGGCAGATCACCACGAACTTATGGTTTAAACAACGCAAATATGTTATCTTACTGTTCTGTAGGTCATAAGTATAACAGAGATCTCACAGGACTAAAATCAAAGTGTCGGCATGATTGTGTTTCTAGAATCTCAGGGAGAATCTGTTTCTTGCTTATTTGAGTTGTTAGCATATTTAAGTTCTTCGTGGTTGTAGGACTGCAATTTTTCTTGATGGCATCAGCTGAGAGTCATCCCTAGAACATGTAAGAACTTTTACAAAATATTAAAGGAAGAAGTAATACCGATTGTATACAAACTCTTAGAAAAAGATAAAGGTTTGAACAGTTCTGGACTATATGAAAGTTACCATTAACAGGACACCAAAGCAGGCAATGACATTAAACAGAACTATAGACCAATAACTGTGTGAATATAGGCACAGAGCTTTCATAAAATTTTAGCAAATTGAGGCACTTGTCCTTCAAATTGCCCACTGGGTCTCATCCAAGCATACTTGCCTTTCTTTCCTGTTCTAAAGCCTTTTTAAATAAATTTGCACTCATGCTAAAACAAAAAAAATTTAGCAAATTGAATTCAGCCATATACAAACAATAATAAAACTTATTGAGGTTTATCAAGAATACAAGTTCGATCCAATAATTCAAACCCTATTAATATAATCTATATTAACAGACTAAAATAGAAATCTCAAAACTGTAATAAAAGCGTTTTACAAAATTCAAAACTAGGTTTTGATAAACTCAGCAAACTAGAACAAGATGATTCCCTCTACCTGATATAGCACATCTATGAAAAACAAACAGCTAACAGCACATTTGATATATATGTGATCAAGTATTTGATAAGCTGATTTTCCCCAATATTATTATTATTAGGAATAATAAGATAAATTTGTCAACATTCATAATTTCTAGTTTAAAAAAAAAAAGATTGAAAGATTGTACAGGCAGAACCCAAACTGTCTGTATTTACATATGACATGATAATATTGAAAATTCCAAATTGTCTACTAAAAAGCTACTAGCTCTAATAATTGAGTTTAGCAAGGCCTAAGATAAAAAGGCTAGTGTGCAAAAAGTATGTGTCTCTATACTGGGTTGATGTATTAGCTAGCAAATACCTGCTTGGCAACTGAAAAAGGCATTTCACAATAGCATAAAAATAAGAAATATTTAGAAATAAATTTAACAAAATATGTTCAAGAACTGTAAAAACATTGCTGAGGGACATTAAAGAAGGCATAAATAAATGATACAGCAAGTTCCTGAATCTGAGATTTAATACTTTTAAGTTGTCAGTTTTCCTTTAACTGTTCTATAGGTTGAGACAATCCCAATAAAAACCCAATTTTTTAAATAAAAATTTACAAATGTATTCTGAAAAGTTACATGGAAATACAAAGGGCCTGTACTAATTGTCAAAACAATTTTATAAATAAGAATAAATTTGAAACTGCATGCCTTTCATGTCACCTCTCATTTACCCGATTCATTGCCTGGTCCTCTCACCTGTGGGCTGAGCACTGGCTGACATTATCACAGCTTTGGCATGACTTATGAAGCAAGGGATATGATGGTGACTGAGGGTTGGAGGGATCTTGGTCACTTCGTTTCCTTACTTCATTGTGGTCACAAAGATTTCCCTCAATTATCTCCTAGAAGTTGTATAGTTTTGGTTTTACATTTATGTCTATGAATTGTTTTGGGTTAAATTTTAGAATAGAACTTGCTGGAACATGGGTTAAATTATCAGGAAAAATGGCAAATTATAAAAATGGCTACTTTTTTGGGGAAAAAAAGCAAATAGCAAGATGATGGTGTTATTCATAGAAATAAGAGTGACAGAGAGAGTTAGACATGGTGATAAAAGCTGAGAAACCGGCCAGGCGCGGTGGCTCAAGCCTGTAATCCCAGCACTTTGGGAGGCCGAGGCGGGTGGATCACGAGGTCAAGAGATCGAGACCATCCTGGTCAACATGGTGAAACCCCGTCTCTACTAAAACTACAAAAAATTAGCTGGGCATGGTGGCGTGTGCCTGTAGTTCCAGCTACTCGGGAGGCTGAGGCAGGAGAATTGCCTGAACCTAGGAGGCGGAGGTTGCGGTGAGCCGAGATCGTGCCATTGCACTCCAGCCTGGGTAACAAGAGCGAAACTCTGTCTCAAAAAAAAAAAAAAAAAAAAAAAAAATCTGAGAAAGCTGTTCATTTTGGAGCACATTTAAATATCACAGAAGCAAATTGGAAAGTCAGAAAAAAAATTGGAAAAATGAATCTAGAACTCAGGGAATAGTAAGGATGGTAGGGAAGGTTTAAATTAGTAAAATGGAAGATGTTTTAGAAAACTCATGAAGGTTAAGTGACCTGAAGATGCAGAAGTGGTCACTGGGCTAAAGTGAAGAATAAATATGGTGAGGAGTGGCAGGCTTGCATGACAGGCATGCATTCAGTAAAGCTATCACATCACAGCCCAGTGAATATTCTCAGTATCAGCACATCTCTTAAACCAGCACCACAGTCAATAATCAAAATCTCCTTCATCCACCAAAGGGTTTTAACTCCTAGCATTTATGACTTACTAGTGTTCTGTATTCTAACATAGATTTTGCTCATCTTTGCGTTTTTTACTCTTGCTAAATTCTCAGTGGCATATCTTCATTTGGAGAGATGTTTGTCTTTTAAGTTTAGTCATGGCTTCTTGCGTCCTAGTCCTACTCCTCCTTTTCCTTGTGCTCCTCTTCCTCCTTCTGTTCTTTCTCTCCCTGCTCCTTGTCCCTTTGCATCTTTATCTTCTTATTCTTTTTCACCAGAAATCCCTTAGGTTGACAGAGATGGTGGTATGTAGCTATATGTGCCACATGTGGCCTAGAGTATAGGACTGATAAGATGTGATTCATAACAATATGGATAGACTATGCAATTGTGGGTTAAAAAAAAAAAAAAACAAAAAACTCTCTGCATGACCTATGCTTAAGGGGACCTTAGAACTTCCTCAGTAAATTTCTGTTGATTTGTGTCTCTTTGGGTTGGTTTCCTGCCTGAGGATGTTGACAGCATGGATCATGGATATTATGGTTTCAAAGTACATTTCCACAGAAGGGGATGACAAAATAATTGCCTTTATATAGAAAATGAGTCATAGGAGGTTTCTCTTTGAAATTCTTAATTGTTTACCAACAGTTTCCCTAAATGCACCAAGATTCTACCCTCACATATGTGGCACTTGACTACACGGCCTTCCAGCTATGACAGGAAGCATTTAAGTTTTTGCTGTAAAGGAAAGAGGAGATTTGGAGCAGAAAGTGTCCTTACTCTGGGGTGTTACTGACCTCCTCTGCTGAGGAAGGAATTTTGGGGCCAAACAGCAACAATAAGTCTATCAAGCATATAGCAAACATATTCCTGATAGTGTCACATGCACCACAATATAAAGATATCCGAGGATAATTAATATCAGGGTCTGAAGTGAGATATTTATGGTAGGGCTAGAATATGCCAAAACAATGTTACAGGAATGGCGAGACCCAAATGAACAGAAATAATAGGGGCTGTTAAATTATTTCAGGTCCTACTCTAAATAGAGTGTCACAATGAGAATGAATACTTCAAACTTTCTGATAACTCTATAAACACTTGCAAAGAATGAAGCAATAATTTCCATATTATGGATTCTTTGGGTAGCTTTCTAAAACTCGAAACTAAATATTGCAATCTAACTAAGATAGAATTTCTTCTGAAATAACCAATGCTTCAAGAAAGCTGTTTTTAAAAATAACAGAAAGGTCAATATAAGAAGTCAATATTAATACTCCACCAAAATCCATATTTAATGCAGATATTCATTTATACTTTAAAGAGACAATATACAAAGTAACTACCAGATTATTTGCTTTTTTTTTTTTTGAGATGGAGCCTCGCTTTGTCACCCACGCTGGAGTACAGTAGCACTGCCTTGGCTCACTGCAGCCTCTGCCTCCTGGGTTTAAGCGACTGTGTTGCCTCAGCCTCCTGAGTAGCTGGGATTACAGGCACACACATGCCTGGCTAATTATTATTATTATTATTTGTATTTTTAGTAGAGATGGGATTTCACCATGTTGGTCAGGCTGGTCTGGAACTCCTGACCTTGTGATCCACCTGCCTCAGCCTCCCAAAGTGCTGGGATTCATGTGTGAGCCACCTCGCCTGGCCCCTGATTATTCACTTTAAAGCTGATGAAAATGAAAGAAACATGAAAGATAATAATGCTTTGCAGATTACTCTTTAAATAAAAAGATATTTAGAGAATATGTGAACTTTTAGAAAAACACAAATAAGAATAAATGTGACAAAGTTTGAAGTAAGATTTATTTATTTACTTATTTTTTTGAGACGGAGTCTCACTCTGTTGCTCAGGCTGAAGTGTAGTGGTACCATCTTGGCTCACTAAAACCTCCACCTCCCAGTTTGAAGTGATAATCCTGCTTCAGCTCCTGAGTAACTGAAATTACAGGTGCACGGCACCACATCTGGCTAATTTTTGTGTATTTAGTAGAGATGGGATTTCACCATGTTAGCCAGGCTGATCTCAAACTCCCAACCTCAAGTAATCTGCCAGCCTTGGCCTCCCAAAGTGTGGCAATTGAATTAAGTAAGATTTAAGGGCTCATAAATTTGCTATACAAATTAACACTATTGGCATTTCATAATATAGATTATAATTACAGAAGTTATAAAGATAAATACAAGGAACTTACATGATTCATCAGGAATTTTCATATACTAAAATATAAAAATTCTGTAAGTAAACAAGAATATGAGACTATGAGCAAGGTACTAGCAGAAAATAGAACTTTCAACAAGAAGCTTTTTTCTCTTTTGGATTTTGGTCATTTGTGTAAAACAAACTGAAAAACATTTTGTAAATATTAGAAACTTAAAGCCAGCCATGAGAAAGTAATAATGCCTTTTCTTGAAAGATTAATATTCAAGCTATACAATTTAAAGTGTTATTAACTATTACTTTTAAATTAAATACTGTTAAGAATAATTTTTAATAAGGACAACTGATATTTTGAACCAGTTTGAACTAGCTCATGGATTTGTCAGTTTCTTTAAACAAATGCTCAGCTTTCTCAGCCTGTCCTAAGTATGCACCTACAAATCTAGATTCCTATTCTGCTACTCTCCTATCTCTCTAAATTCCAAACACATAGGATTTCTTCCAACTCCTTAAGGCTGTATAGAATCAATCTAGGTGATTTCCCCACTGTCAGAGAGAATTGGACCTAATTATGTTTCAAAATAGATTTTCGAAAAATTTTCTGTGTATCTTCCTAAGACTCAAAGTGAGAGATTTCTCATAATTCTCTAAAGTTAAAATTTTACTTCTGTAACACTATTTCAAAATTTCCTGAACTTCAATTAGACTGGATAATTTTTGTATAACTAAGATAGTCATTTTTAGTTCTATTATAAGAACTAAAATGGGGCAGGAACATAATTGGTGTTATTTGCCATTGCATCCAAAATTTTTACCATGTAATAGTTTGCTACATGTTAACAAATATCGAAATGAATGATTAGATGCCATGAAGAAAACAGACTCATAGCACTGTAATCAGATTACAAAATCAGTTTGTCTTGGCTCTACAGGCAAAGCAGAACCAAGAGACCCATGTGTTACTACTGATGAGCACAAAGGGGTTGAATGCTAGGAAACATGAGGCCACCGGCACAGAACTTTTCACCATCCAATGGCCTGGGTTTTCAGCTGAAGTCATCCAAACAGTTAATGTACTATAGATTGAATAAAAGGTGAAAAAGGAGCAGACCAGGATTAGGATAGCGTATGTGGCTGTGGCCTCATGGGAAGATCTGGAGGAGAGTCTATGACTGAACGTTTTGGACTTGCTGCTTGTGCCTGTGCAGGACAAAAACCATGGAGCCACTGGCCCAGACCATGAAAACCAAACTCACAGTTGGGGGAAAATATGTGATTGCATAGAATAACCCAAATCTGTCTTAAATTGTGCAGGAACAGACTCTATAATCTATTTCTATGTTAAGGTTTTCCTGTTCAATGCACCAGTCACTATTTTAAGAATACATGTGGGTGTGGGACTGGGGTTATAATCCCAGCTATTCATTTCTGAAAAAGAAAAAAAAAAAAGAATACATGTATTCATCAAAAGATGCAAAATCCAGCACAAGAAGCAAGAGAAGCCAATGAACTTTGAATATCTAATCTTGAGTTCCATCCACATCCATATACTGGGGTTGAGCTTAATGGCTTGGAAGCCTTTGAGGAGGCAGATACTGCTGAAGGAAACCCCTGTGCCTATTCTCTAATAATAAAGTTTACATCCTGCATCATCCAGAAAATATTTTGATCCAAAGGCCTCCATTGTTTGAGGTATCCCTTTGTAGGAAAGGACCGAGCAGTTGGCTAAGGTCAGTTGGTTGAGAATCAGGTCTGTGGGTCTCAACTTGTGTCCAGTGAGCAAAGGGAAGCTGTAAAGACAAAGGAGTGAGGAATTTCCCAAAATCCCAATTCCAGTCTGAGCAAGGAAGATTTCAACTTTTTAAAATCAATTGGCTTAACATCTAGGATGTGTTGATTTCAGTTGCAGTCAGAGGCTTAAGTAGGAAAAAAAAACATAGATGTCTTACCATCACTATGGAGAGTACTTTTCTGTGCTTATCCTATCTCATATTTCCCACTTTAATTGAGCATTGACACCTTATGGTTATTTGCCCAAAGGCAGTTCCTGAAAAACTACATTGGAAATAGCCTCAGTGTCCAACTACAAGTGTCTGGGTGAATGAATGAGTGCAAAACTGCACAACAGATCACCACAGCTTTAGAGATTAGTAAAGATCTCTGTATATCTGTCCCATCAGTATTGTTTCAGGATTTTTCCAACACCGTTGAAAACTTAGGAAACATCTTGAACACAACACAAATTTTGTGATTGTTCCTGGTTGCTTTGTCTGCAGGAAAGACGAGATGAATGCAGAAAACTGTACCCAGCTAAAATAAATCATGTAGGAATATAAAAACTCACACAAGGACACAATCTGAAAATCTACTGGTAACCTCAGTTCACCCTACGGTGTGAGCTAAACCCATCCATATTAGCATTACATTTTCCATCTGATTTTATGTAATTCTCCTACCACCAACCACTTCACAGTAACTCACACGCTGCAACTCTTGACTCCCACTTTCACAAGCAAAATTCAGGGTTTTTAAGTAAACAGCCATATTTATCATATTATTTATTTATTTATTAAATATTTAACGTGTAATGTTGCATTGTCTTATTTATTAGACTTCTATATTTTATGTTTCACAGATGATATTTTGTGTCTCCATAAGCCCTGGGATTTCATTTTGTATTTTGCATAATTCTGTATTTTTCAGGAATGCATACATTGCATTATTGTAGAACTGACTTAATGGAGTTTTTCCAGGGTATGTTTTGCATTGAAAAATTCACAATTCAGAATATATAACATATACTATATATTTTTAAGCAAGTAAAAATATATAAAACGACAGAGTGCTAACAGAAAAGGAATAGAACTGATAGTATATACAATTTTCTTCTGTTATACCTTTGTCTTTTTACAAATCTAAATATTTTACATAATTTTTATACAATATTAAATCAAGGTGAAATTTGAAAAATCCATGCAATGAAAGGTGAAATGAACAAAAAAGCGAGCTTGTATGTCAGCATGATTGCCAGTGCAGGCAAGATTTTTTTTAAAAGCCTTCATATGGTTTTAAACTTAGACACACATGAATACACACACACATGCAACTGAATATAAGTAAAAGTAATGAAATCTGAATGAGAACGTTGGAGAGGATCATTAACAGTATCTTTGTTTTGATTTTATAATATAGTGTTGCAAATGTTATTCTGGAAGAAACTAGATAATGTAACATATACACAAGATCCTTCAGTATTATTTTTTACAGCTGCATGTAAATCATTAATTATGTCTATATGCATGTTCCAATTTAAAATTATATGTGTATATACAAGGTAAAAAATACAAAATATTTAAATGTCATGTCTATAATCATGTTTTGCCAAAATGTATTGGTGTTGATACATTGAAAAAATAAGCAATATTACACTAAGAATGTGTGCAATATTACACTAAAATTAGGTAATTTTAAGGAACTATAGAAGCATAATGTAAAACTATTAAAATATGAGGATCAGAAATAAATAATAGTGGAGACAAACTATAGCCAAAGATTACATTCCTAAAGATATTTTTACTATATAGGTGTCTTATTTAATAAGACTCCAATATAAGTGGTAATTTTTCTAAAGTTTCTCAAGTAATTATGAAATATCAAAATTATAAACAAAAACTAAAGAGAAATGAAGACAATAGGTAGCAACAAAATCTAATTGCTAAATATGGGGGGGAAAGGCCAGGCGCGGTGCTTATGCTTGTAATCCCAGCACTTTTAGGGAGCGAATCACTTGAGGCCACTTCGAGACCAGCCTGGGCAACGTGGTGAAACCCCTTCTCTAATGAAAATACAAAAATTACCCGGGCGTAGTGGCGCCCGCCTGTAGTCCCAGCTACTTGCGAGGATGAGGCAGAATTGCTTCAGCCTGGGAGGCAGAGGTTGCAGTGAGCAGAGATTGCACTGCACTCCAGCCTAGGCAACAGAGTGAGACTCTGTCTCAGAAAAAAAAAAAAAAAAGGAAAAAAAGAAGATATAATGTTTTTGCAATCTCATTCTCATTTCAGTTCCACTTATGATGATAAATTATGTAATTTAAGTCACTAACATTTGGGGACAAAAATCAGAATAAACACATACGTGTGGGATAAGGGGATGCTGATCCCACTGTTAATGAATCACTTTGGTTGGATACCAAGGTTTTATCATGCAGATGAAACCTCCAGGTAGCAAGCTTCAGAGAAATAGATTATAAAGGTTTCTTATCAGACTGAAGGTCTATGTTGATGTTATTGAGGTAGGGGTAGAATGAGGCATGTCCAATCCCCTCTTCCATCATGGCCTGAACTAGATTTTCAGGTTAACTCTATAATGCTGAGAGGAGGGGGTCCATTCAGACAGTTGGGAGGCCTTTGAATTTTATTTTGGGTTTATAATCTCTACATTTAAAAATGAAAAAAATAAGGACTGCGTCAATTGTCAATTGTCAACATTTTTAATGTACTGTATGCAATCTATGTCAACTTTTGTGCTGAGAAATGAAGATCAAATCGTATTCGTTTACCACGTGTATGTGATAGGCTTTGCTGACCTAGTTTGATGGGTTTTTTCTTTGTCCTCTCCCTCTTGAACTGGGTTCACAAGGCACCGTGGACTGCGGCGTGGCAGGAACTACACCACCCAGAATACTGTGCGCCGAGCGTGCCGGGGCCTCGGACTAATCAGTGCCCGGGAAAGGGGTAACTCCGCGAGTGCGCAGTACGTCAGAGCAGGAACTTCCGGCGCCTTCCGGGCGGTGGTCATTTTGGCTGCCAGTGTGTGCGTCCGCCCGTTAGGCGGTTCCGGCTCGCTGGGTCCGGGCCAGGAGGTGGTGTCCGCCCGCAGAGGAGCGTGCCTGGTCTCGGTCTGAGCGTCTCCCAGCGATTTGCCACCGCACGCCCGCCGGATCCCGGGCTTTACCGCGCGCTTCTCCAGGCCCCGCCCCGCCCAAGGTCCCATGGATGCGGCAGCGCCAGTGAATCCACCGCAGGTGAGAGAGGCGTCCTCGGATCCTCACCCAGGTCCTCAAGCCCGGGACGGGGGCGCCTGCTCGGGTCTGTGCAGTTCGGGCCCCATCTCCAGGACAGCGAGGCGTTCTGGGTGGGGTCCTCAGCGCTGACGGGAGGTGAGGTGAGGAGGGAGGGCGTTGCGTACGGTGGGAGCCGCACGCGCAGAGCCTGGGAGGTGCGCCGGGGCCGCGAGCGTTCGGAAACCTGTGGATCGACCGGTGTTTGCAAGGAGGGAGAGAATGAAGAGCCAGGCTTTAATTCTGAGTCTTTGGGAGCCATGGAGGGTTGTGAATAAAGGAGAACACGATCTGAGGGAGGGTCGTGTTCTTTAAAAAAATATTTCAAAGGCCGTGAGTGGAGATAACAGACTGTTAGGGAGTGATGATGGTGGACGCAGGGATACTGGCGAGGAGGCGGCTGTAGTAGAATCCAGGAGGATTGTGTTGGATTCTGGAGGGACCTAAGTAATAAGATTCTTGGTAGATTTTAAAGGTAAAGCCCGTAGGCTTTTCTGCTGCATCATTTGTGCCTGTGAGCAAAAGTGGGAGTGAAGTATGATCCCAAGTTTTTCTCTTACTTGAACATCTGGAAGAGTTGACAGAAATCTAGTGGGGGAGCAGGTTTCAGGGACATGCTATGAGTTAAATTTTGGACGTGGTGTTTCTTTCTTTTCTTTTTAAAATATATTTTACGTTTCCAGCCGTCCACTGATGGTATGCACGTGGTGTTTCTAAATTGTCACAGAGTGAGGTTGTTACATGGGCAGCTGGAATTGTAAGTAGAAAATTAAGGGGAGAAGACTGGCTCGTTGATTTTGTACTTGGTGACAGGCTGGGGCTTAGACTCAGGCCAAGCCTTAAATTTAGACGGGTAATCTTAAGATTTTACTTTGAGATGAAGAGAGGGAGGGCTGGGGCTGGAAGCTGGGGAAGAGTGGGTCGGCCTTGCGAGGCTGCTTGCAGATAGAAGGGCCCTGGGGTTCCAGGGGCACTTCCAGAGGAAATATTTAAGGAATACACACTGCATAGGATGGATTTGAGGGTGGGACACTCTGCAAAGTCACCGTTCAGGAGGTTTGGTGAACCTATTCACTCTATGTAGAGCCAGAAGAAGGTCAGCCAGACTAGCGGAGCAGCTCAAGCCCAGCAAGAGCAGCTCTCCCCGGAAAACACAGATTTAAGCTTTATAGATTTAACAAATTTATGCAAGTCGATTAAAATGCCACTATACCTCTGTGCTCTAATAAAAAATAAATGTTTGCTTTTTGTCATGTTTTCCTGGCACAGAACTCCTAAAATCCTTGTAATTTCCTCAGTGAAAAGTGTCTTGTGATAAGTCATGTAGCACATAACAATAATGTTGACCACATCAATGGCGGTGATCCCCTGAGATTATGATACCATATTTTTACTGTACCTTTTTATTTCTTTCTGATCAAGAGGTAAACTGCGTTTTCTAAGTTTATATATGTTTAAATACCCAAATAATTATCACTGTGTTACAGTTGCTGACAGTATTTAGTATAATAGCTTGCGGTACATGTTTGTAGCCTAGGAGCTATAGGCTATAATACATTTAGTAGTTGAACGAGTTTCTCCTTATCCTTGGAGGATACTTTTCAAGACCCCCAGTGGAGGCCTGAAACTGCAGATAGTACCCAACCTATATATACTATGTTTCTTCCTAGGCTACATACCTATAATAAAGTCCAATTTATAAATTAGGCATTATAAGAGATTAATAATAACTGGAAATATAGAACAATTACACTTTAATTATAAGTTAATAAAAGTTATGTTACTGCAGTTGAGACAATAAAAAAACAAAAAAGATTATTTAAAAAGTTATGTGAATGTGTTATCTCTAAATATCTTATTATACTATTTACCCTTCTTCATCTCAAGAAGAAAGGACTAAACTCCATAGCGTAATACTTCCTCATACCACTTAGAATGGTGCACTATTTAAAACATGAATTGTTTATTTCTGGAAATTTAATATTTTAATATTTAATGTTAAAATTTTAACATTACTATTTTCAGACTGAAGTTGTAATTTAATACTTATAATTTTCACCTGAAATTGAATGCAGGTAACTGAAACTGCAAGTAGCAAAACAGCTGATAAGGGAAGGCTACTATACTTGAGTTTTATGAGATGACTTAGGGTGAGCAGACAGGGTGGAGTCTCTAGATAGCCTCAGAGTGGAGTTGGTCACCAGACAAATCAAGTGATTATAGGATTTGAACTTTAAGCCCCAGCTCTGGCCTCCAGGGAGGGAAGCAGAGGTTTGGAGATTAGATTATATAAAATCTTGAACAATGAGTTCAGGAAGCTTCAAGGTTGTGAACACTTGGAAATGCTGGGAGAGTGACATAAGAGAGCATGGAAGTATTCTGCCTTACCCCCTCTCCCAGTACCTTGCCATATGCATCTCTTCCATTTGGCTGTTCCAGAGTTACATCCATTATCATAAACTGATAAACATAAGTATTTTCCTGAGTTCTGTAAGTGGTTCTAGCAAATTATTGAAAAAGGTCATGGCAGCCCCCAAATTTGTAGCCAAGTGGAGAAAATTACGGTGGTTTGGACATTGGCTTGCAGTTGGCATATGAAATGTGGACAGTTGTGTGTGACTGAGCCTTTAAACCTTTTGGTTTAGATGCAACTCCAGGTATTATTAGGATAGGATTGAATTGTAGGACACCTAGTTGGTATCAGAATCAGAGAATGATGTTGGAAAAGACACTGCATATTTATTGTCAAAGAATCACAGAAGCCTCTGATAATTTGATAACATATCCCATTCACATAAAGACTGTGGTCTTTCTTGTTGAATATTCTGTGTGAGCTTGGGAACAGTGTGTATTCTGTTCTTTTTGGAAAAAATAAAGATGTTGATTATGTCCAGTTGATTGATGATGTTGAATTCAGCTATGTTTATTCGTTTGGACATTGCTGAATATTCTGTGTGATCTTGGTAACAGTGTATATTCTGTTCTTGTTGGAAAAAATAATCTAAAGATGTTGATTTTGTGCACTTGATTGATGGTGTTGTTGAATTCAGCTATGTTTATTGGTCTGAACATGGATGGTGTTGTTGAATTCAGCTATATTTATTGGTCTGGATGTTGGCTTGCAATGAGCATATGAAGTGAGAACAGTTGTGTATGACTGAGCCTTTAAAACCTGTTGGTTTAGAAGCAACTCCAGGTAGTTAGTATTAGAATAGGATTGAATTGTAGGACACCTAGTTGGTATCAGAATCAGAGAATAATGTTGGAAAACACACTACATATTTATTGTCAAAGAATCACAGAAGCCTCTAATAATTTGATAACATATCACATTCATATAAAGACTTAAATGGCAAGAAACACCAAAATTTTCAAAACTGTTTACAGAAGTCTTAATGCTGTGGTCAGTACTAGCCCGGTATTAGCATTGGACAAGTACAAATGAGTTTGATGCCTACAATAGCACTGCAAGGTAGCCACCATTAAGTGTTCCCATTTTACAGATGGAGGCAACTTCAGACAGGTCAGATCTTTGTCCAGTGTCACACAGCTGGCAAAAGCAACCTACCCTTTGTAAATGCCACCTTGAACACCTTTATTGCATAGCCTCCCTCTTCCTGCAGATTCCTGTGGCAGCAGAAGAGTTTGTGAAACCATCACAGGTAATTGGAGGAAGTCCCAGATCTTCACTGGCCCTATTCCCTAAAGCCATGGTTCTGGCCCACAGATGCAGGTGACACTGATGTCTTGAGACTCTTTTTCCTTGGTTTTGGGTCCCTTGGGTCACCTCAGACCCAGGATGATTAATCAGGTTCAGAAGTTCTACAGAGATGTTCCCATTTCTGCATCTAATAGGATGAAGTGATGAAAGGTTTCCTGGGCATAGGAGCCAGTATGTCCAAATGGTTAGAGATGAGAATCATATGGGCATATAGAGGAATTTCAAGTCTCTGTGCACTGTGGCCAAAACTTCGGCAGTGTGAGCTTTGACAGCAGAACTAACATGAGTTTCTTTTTCCTTCTTCACAATCTCACAGATACATGATTTGTTCTTTTTGTACATCTTAGCAAACTCAGAGTACAATTTTTATTTTTCTTGTTAAATCAAGAACTCTCACCTTTTCACTTAAAGGAAGTACTTTACATCTTTTACACATCTGAATTGCTGGCATTATTGCTCTTGTGCTTTGGGGATATTACTAAGTAAAATCAGGGTTACTTAACACAAGCACTGTGATAATGAGACAGTTGATATGATAACCAAGATGGCCACTTAGTGACTAACAGGCAGGTACTGTATTCAGCATGGGATCTGCTAGACAAAGGGATGATCCATATCTTGGGCATAACACCGTGGGACAGTGTAAGATTTTGTCACACTACTCAGAAAAGCACGTGATTTATAACTTATGAGTTATTTATTTATGGAATTATGCATGTAATATTTTCAGACCACAGTTGACCACTGGTAACTGAAACCGTGGAATACAAAATTATGGATAAGACTGGGGACGACTGTGTAGGTATTCAGTGCTATAAATTTTATTCTAAGCACCACTTCAACTGCATCTCACAAATTCTAAGTTGTGTTTTCATTGTCATTTAGTTCAAAATAGTTTTAAATTTATCTCGAGTATTGCTTCTTTGCTTCATGTGTTAAGTCTTGTTTAATCTCCCAAGTATTTTGGGATTTGCCAGCTATCTTTCTGTTACTGCTTTCTAGTTTAATTCTATTGTGATCACAGAGCAAACATTGTATTATTTCTGTTAAATTTATTAAGATGTGTTTTATGAATGTGTATTATAAATGGGGGAGTTGGTATCCTTCGTGGGATTTCTAGGATCATTCCAACACTGCGATGGAAATTAAACTGTGAGAGGCGTACAGAATTAAAGGATTTATTATATTCATAGATTCTCATAGAGGGTGGCACAGCAAACTATGCATGAAGCCGTATGGGAGGAGCTCTTAAGGAGCAGACTCAATCAAGCAGGCAGGGAGCCAAGAGGGAGCACAAGGACCTGTGGGCAGGTGCTTTTCCTAGTGTGTTTGAATATCATTTAGTCACAGTCAAGGGAGAAAAAGAAGGGGAGGTTGTGACAGGGACCAGGCTTAGCATACTGGGTACCTGGTCTCCAGGGTGGGTTGCTCATAATGTGTTGGAGATGTTGAAGCATCAGGAAAATAGGAAGTTCTAAAGATTTATAAAACAGGCCCAAAGTGTGGCCTATCTTGTTGAATATTCCGTGTGAGTTTAAGAACAATGTGTATTCTGTTCTTGTTGGACAAAATAATCTAAAGATGTTGATTATGTCCATTTGGTTGATGGTGTTGTTGAATTCAGCTGTTTATTGGTTTTCTGCCTACTGGATCTGTCAGTAACAGAAGAGTGTGGAAGACTTCAATTATGATGGTGGATTGATCTGATTCTCCTTAAAGACCTATCAGTTTTTGCCTCACATAGTTTGATGCTCTGTGGTCAGGCGTGTATGTGTTAAGGATTCTTACATCTTTTTGGAAACTGACCCCTTTATCATTATGTAATCTTCTTTATCTCTGATAACTTTTCTTGCTGTAGTTTGCTCTAAAATTAATAAGCCTTCTCTTGTTGTTTTTTTGTTTTTTGTTTTTTTTACTACCATATTACCATGGTATGTTTTTCTCCATCTGTTACAATTTAAATATGCTCTTCAAGTCTCATGTTGAAATTTGATACCCAATATTGAGGGGCCTGGTAAGAAGTGTTTGGGTCACAAGGGCAGATTCTTCATGAACAGCTTGATGCTGTCCTCAGAGTAATGAATGATTTCCTCCTCTGTTAGTTCCTATGAGCTTTGATTGTTTAAAAGGGCCTGGCGCTTTCCCTTCTCTGTCATGCTTATGCCATGTTTTGCCAACCCCCACTTCATGTTCTGCCATGAGTGGAAGCTTCCTGAAGTCCTCATCAGAAGCAGATATTAGTACCATGCTTCTGAGCTTGCAGAACTGTGAACCAAATATACATTTTTTCTTTATAAATTATCCAGCTTCAGTTATTCCTTTATAGCAACACAGAACAGACTAAGGCACCATCCATTTACTTTTGATCTATATGTGTCTTTATATTTAAGGTTTTTTTTTTTTTTTAGACAACATATAGTTAGGCCTTGTTTATTGATCCACTCTGACCATCTGTTTTAATATTGGTACACTTAGACTATTGACATTCAAAGTGATTGTCGATGTAGTTGTTGATGTAGTTGGAGTAGCTTGCACCATATTTGTTACTGTTTACTATTTGTTGCCCTTACTGTTTTGTTTTGTCTTTTGGGTTTTGTTTTTGATACAAGGTCTGGCTTTGGTGTCCAGGCTGGCGTGCAGTGGTGCAATCTCAGCTCTCTGCAACCTCCTCCTCCAGGACTCAAGGGATCTGCCCAGCTTAGCCTCCCAGGTAGCTGGGACTATAGGCATGAGCCCCCACACCCAGCTAATTTTTGTATTTTTTTGTAGAGATCAGGGTTTCGCCATGTTGGCCAGGCTGGTCTTGAACTCCTGGCCTCAAGTGATCTGCCTACCCTAGCCTCCCAAAGTGTTGGGATTACAGGTGTGTGCCACCATGCCTGGCTGCAATATACTTTTGCAACTAATCTAAGTCCATATTATTCAAATAGCACTATAACATTTCACAGGTACTTTGAGTGTTTTATAACAAGATAGATAATCTTAATTCCACTCTCTTGTCCCTTGTTTTTGTTTGTTTTGTTTTTGAGACAGGCTCTCCTTCTGTCACCCAGGCTGGAGTGCAGTGGCATGAACACAGCTCACTGCAGCCTCATTCTCCTGGGATCAAGCGATCCTCCTGTCTCAGCCTCACCAGTAGCTGGGACCACAGGTGTGTGCTACCAGACCCAGCTAAATTTTTTTTTTTTTTTTTTTTTTTTTTTTTTAATAGAGAAAGGACCTCACTTTGTTACTCAGGCTGGTCTTGAACTCCTCCCGTCAAATGATCCTTGTGCCTTGGCCTCACCAGTGTGTTGGGATTTCAAGGGTGAGCCAGCGTGCCTGTCCAGCTTGTCCCTTATATTGTTGTTATCATTTATTTATGCATGAGTGTGCATGCACGCACGTGCACACGCATGCACACACACACAATTGAATACATTGTTGCTATTCTTTTTTTTTTAACAAATTCATCTGTTAGATTTATTAAGAATACGAAAAATTTTTATTTTACCTTCACTTTTTCTTTTTTTAATTTGTGGTACTCTTCCTTTCTTTATGCAGGTCCAAGTTTCTGGCCTTTATATCATTTCCTTCTATCTGAAGAATTTTTTTTTAACATTTCTTGCAAGGCAGATCTACTGGCTACAGAGTTTTAAATTTGTGTTTGTCTGAGAAAGTCTTTTTTTCTCCTTTACTTTGGGGGGATAATTTCACAGAGTACACCCTTCTAGGTTGGTAAGGATTTTTCTCAACACTTTTTAATTCACTTTTTTCTTGTTTTGCATGGTTTCTGAGGAGAAGTAGGATGTAATTCTTATCTTTGTTCTTCTATAAGTAAAGTGGCTTTCTAGCTTTTGTCAGTAATTTTTTTTAATCCTTAATGTTCCATAGTTTGACTATATGTCTAGGAGTAGGTTTTGGGGGTGGATTTGTCCTACTTGGTGATCTCTGAGCTTCCTGGATCTGTGGTTTGGTGACTGAAATGAATTTGGGGAAATTCTAAGTGTAATTCTTTTTTTTTTTTTTTAATATGGAATGTTCGTGAATTTGCGTGTCATCCTTGCGCAGGGGCCATGCTAATCTTCTCTGTATCATTCCAATTTTAGTATATGTGCTGCTGAAGTGAGCACCTAAGTGTAATTCTTAAGTTTATTTTTATTTTTTCCTTCTTGTATTCCCAGTATATGTATGTTACATGTTTTGTAGTTGTCCCATAGTCATTTGATATTATTTTGTGTATATATTTTTTAAGTCTTTGTGCACTTCACTTGCCAATTTTGGAGGTTTCTATTGATGTATCCTCATTCTTTTTTTTGAGACAGAGTTTCGCTCTTGTTACCCAGGCTGGAGTGCAATGGCACGATCTCGGCTCACCGCAACCTCCGCCTCCTGGGTTCAGGCAATTCTCCTGCCTCAGCCTCCTTAGTAGCTGGGATTACAGGCACGTGCCACCATGCCCAGCTAATTTTTTGTAGTTTTAGTAGAGACGGGGTTTCACCATGTTGACCAGGATGGTCTCGATCTCTTGACCTCGTGATCCACCCGCCTCGGCCTCCCAAAGTGCTGGGATTACAGGCTTGAGCCACCGCGCCCGGCCCTTTTTTCTTTCTTGAGACGGAGTCTCACTCTGTTACCAGGCTGGAGTGCAGTGGCACGATCTCGGCTCACCGCAACCTCCACCTCCTGGGTTCAGGCAATTCTCCTGCCTCAACCTCCTCAGTAGCTGGGATTACAGGCACGCGCCACCATGCCCAGCTAATGTTTTTTGTATTTATCTTTTTTTTAGTAGAGGCAGGGTTTCACCATGTTGACCAGGATGGTCTCGATCTCTTGACCTCGTGATCCACCCGCCTCGGCCTCCCAAAGTGCTGGGATTACAGGCTTGAGCCACCGCACCCGGCCTGTATCCTCATTCTTATAGATTCTTTTCTCAGCCTTACCCAAGCTAGTAACCCCTTCAGAGGCTCTCTTCATTCCTTTTACATTATTTTTGGACCCCAGCATTTCTCTTTGGTTCTTTCTGAGGATTTCCATCTCTACTTACTCTGCTCGTTCTTGCATGACATCTAGTTTATCCATTACGGAGTGTCATATTTGTAGTTGTTTAAAATTGCTGGTTGCATAATTCCATTTCTGTGCTATGTATAGTTCTGATACTTGCTCTCTTTTCTCCAGTTGTATTCATTCTTTTACCTTTGGTATGCCTTGTGTTGTTTTCTTTTCTTACCCTCCTCCTTTTATTTTTTTGAGATGGAGTTTTGCTCTTGTCACCCAGGCTGGAGTGCAGTGGCGCGATGTTGGCTCACTGCAATCTCAACCTCTCAAATTCAAGCGATTCTCCTGCCTCAGCCTCCCAAGTAGCTAGGATTACAGGCATCCACCACCATGCCCAGCTAATTTTTGCATTTTTAGTAGAGACGAGGTTTCACCATGTTGGCCAGGCTGGTCTCGAACTCCTGACCTCAGGTGATCCACCTGCCTCGGCCCCCCAAAGTGCTTCCGATGTTTTCTTGATAGCTAGAGACGATGACCTCAGTAAAAGGAATTGCTGTAAATAGGCCTTTAATAATGTGATGGTGAGGTGTGCCAGGTCCCAGTGTTTTAGTGAGCCTATTCCTCTTGGCTGAAATTCACGTGTCTCTAAATTTTGTTTTGTTTTGCTTTTTCTCTCCCATTATGTGGAAGAGGATTACTAGAATGGGCTGTAGTTGGTTATTTCCCTGGTCTATCCCTAGATAAGACTAGGCTCTGATAATACCTCTGCAGGTTAAGCTCTAGTTAAATGTTGTCTCCTGAGGACAGGCTTTGTTTAGAGGAACACATTGCTATGGCATATTTTAAAATGATTCATTTTCTCCTCTCTGCTGGAAGCACAAGGGGATTTTTTTCCCCAGTGTTTACCATGAGAACTTGTTTAAGACTCTGGAGGTAAATACTGCAAGATTGTGGGGGCTCTCACCGAGTGCCTCTTGAATTTTCAGCTCACAGAATGGTCCACACAGAGCTCCCAGCAATTTATGCATTATAGATCGAGTTTTCCTAACCTGGCGAGGGTTTGCATGATGATTTCCTTTCATGAGTTTCTGCTCCTGTAAGCCTTGATTCTCCTGTATTCCCTTGTTTTTCTCTCCAGTCTTGGGGGCAGCAGTGTGTCCTTATCTTTCCTGTGGATCCTAGAAGAGCTGTCCATTTTTCAGTCTGTTTAACTCTTTACTTGCTATTGTGATGGAGTGGCCACTTCCAAGCTCCTTACATGCAGAATAGGAAACCAAAATCCAGGAGTTAGGCCTTCACAATATGGAATCTTCTGTTGGGAACCCTTAGTGGTGATGTCAGGTGCACAGCAAGAGACAGACATGTGGAATTCAGGGAAGGGATCCAAGTGAAAGCTATCCATCAGCCAGTGGCTGGCATGTGGACCATTGCAGATGTAAGAGGAGCACTCTTTAGGTCATAGTGGCAATGCCAACAGCGAGGAAGGATGTAAAGAGTATTCTGTAATGACTGGGCCTCACATGTTCACCTAGATAGAAGTGGGAACTGGCCGGGCGCGGTGGCTCACGCTTGTAATCCCAGCACTTTGGGAGGCCGAGGCGGGTGGATCACGAGGTCAAGAGATCGAGACCATCCTGGTCAACATGGTGAAA